AACAACAACAACCTCAGGCTGGTGATCCAAGGCAGAGGCAGAGAGAGAGGGGGGCAGAGGCCAGCCCAGTCTATATAGCTAGAACTACATAGTAAGACTCTGTCTCAAAAAAAAAAAGAAAAATAGGAATGGTAATCTCAGCACTTGAGAGGCAGAGACAGGAACATTGCAGCAAATTCAAGACTAGTCCAGTCTCTGACATGAGTTCTAGGCCAGCAAGACTACAAAGTAAGACCCTGTCTCAAACAAAAACCCCAAACAACAACAACAAAAACCCTAAAAGCGAAACTACTCAAATAAACAAAAAAAGATCTCCTTTAGGGGAAATCTGAGTTCCTCAAACAAATATGTTTCCTGGATCGTGAAGGACTAAGATTATAGTTTTGAGGTACTCTTTATGTGTGTATGGCTTTTTAAAAATTATGATAAATGAAACCTTTGTTTAATAATTTTTTCTTTACTGTGGGAAATCCCACTTTTGGGGGATTGGGGGGTGGTTGTCCTGTGGCGGTGAGATCGAAGGCACAGAGATTAAGACTCTGGGGAACTTTGTGTCTGACAACAAGTCCACTTTATTAAAAGTCCAACAGGTTTTTATACTGAAAAGAAGCTAGCAGTTAGGTATGGCTTCTGGAGTTACATACAAAGCATCAGAACATTTTTAGTTGAAAAACAGGAACAGTAACTTTTAGCTGGTGCAAGCTAAGGCAATTACATAGCAGGATGTTTGGACCTTACCCAGGGCTATTGTTTGGTGGTGTATTGATCAAAATGTTTACTTTCTCGGACAGGGAAGTTAAGATGCCTTTCTTAGAACAAGGAACACAGTCAGCCTTTCTGATCTGGCTCAACTTCCTCTACCAATCATGTAATTGTTCCACATGTCAGGGTCTTGAGACTTCTGTGTTCAGGGTCTTATCCGTAGGTAGAGGTTATGGTTTGATCTTCGGGTTGGTTCTACTCCTTCAAAGCAGGTCATCCTAATCTCCAACACTTTACAATCATCTAACATTTATTATATACCAACTATACTTCAGAAAATATTCTAAGTACTGGGTAAGGAATAGAAAACAAATGCATATCCATGTGTTGCACACATCCTGACATTTGAATATAGTAAGATCTTCCCTGTATGGTGTCTCATTTAAACTTCATAATGACCAGCAAAATTAGTGAAATGACTGACAATATCTGAGTATTACTGATGAGGACTTTGAATATGCTTTCTTAGGTTAACTATATCCATCAACAACCTAGCGGAAAATAAACCCACTAACAACTATAGAACAGAAAATACAGTTAAAAGCATTTGAAATCAAGAATAAGATTCATCACGTCCATTCTGTGTCGTACAGAGGAATATAATAATTTGAAAGGAAGACCCAAAGCTGCTCGTACTAAAGAATATGGATGATTTACAAATTCCAGGGATTCTTTGGACACACCTAATGAGGGTATCACAGAGTTTCTGGACACAAAACCAGCAGCACCCATGTGCACCGTTAGTATTAACATGAACATATAATAGTGAAAAGTTCATTCACAACCACAGTAACAACAGAATGCAAATGCAGCATCAGCTGAAATCCCGTATTTGTTTTTGTGTTTAAAGATATGGTCATCATAGCTGAGGCTGGCCTTGGATTCCTGATTCCTCTGCCCCTTCCTGTCTAGTGCTAGGCATTCACTACCATACCTTGTTATAGTTTTGAATGAATAAATGAAAGAAATTCAGTTAATAAGCAACTGCCTGTCATTTGCCTCTCTCTGTCTAACTGATTGGAAAGACAAGATCAGGACAAAAAATTGCATGGGTTGCGTAAAGAGCAACTTATTCATGTAAAGAGAGTGGTGTATCCTACCCGGAGTCTTTGCATTCAGGAGCTGAGGTGGCTGATGTGAGTTAAAGACTAGACTGAGCTACATAGATAGAGCCAAACAAAAACGAAAGCTATGAGCCTGGGTGCTGCATTGAGAACACAGGTGGCTCTGCTCAATAGAAAGTAGTGGGTGTCACTATCTAGTTAGAAAATTTCCAAGAACCGCATTACAAAATGTTAAACAGGTGAATTTATTTTAATAATCTGTATTATTAGATTTAATTTATCTAGAATAATGACATATTTTATATGCAAATAGTGAAATATATATGTAAATAATGAAATATGCCAGGTGTGGTGGCACACACCTTTAATCCCAGCACTCGTGAGGCACGGGTAGGTCAGTCTCTGAATTCCAGGTCAGCCAAGGCTACATAGTGAGACTCCATCTAAAGAGAAAAAAACAAAAAAACACCACCAACCAAAAAAATCTTTCGCATCTTAATGGAAGTCTTCAAAATTGAGAACATCGTGGAAATTTTTTTTGAAATAGCGAAGGTCCCTGGGGTCCCTGGTATATTGTCTTAATTCAAAGTTGAGGTGGTTTTTTTTTTTTTTTTGGTCTTTTTGGAACAAGTTTTCCCTGTAGCCCCAGCTGTCCTGGAACTCATCATGTAGACCAGGCTGGCCTTGAACTCACAGAGATCCACCTGCCTCTGCCTCCTGAGTGCTGGGATTAAAGGCGTGCGCCACCATGCCCAGCAAGAGTGAAATATTTTTAATATGGCTCAGCTGTGGCCTTGGATCTATAGCCTGACACATTTTATTTCTCTAATATCTGAATTATTTGAGTAAGTTCAAAGAGATAGAGAAAAGTATTGACTGTGGTGGTCTTATTCTTAACACTTTTCACTTCCCGGAATATAAATATTGTTTATATTTATTCCAGTTCAGGTATATGCTAAAGAGTAAGTACTGTTTGTATACATGCATTTATAAATACATACTCAGTTGAGTGTGGTAGCCCACACCTTTAATTCTAGCAGAGGCAGGTAGATCTTTGTGAGATGGAAGCCAGCCTGGTCTATATAGTGAATTTCAGGCTAGCTGGGGCTGCAGGGAGACTCTGTCTCATAAAACCTAAATGAAAAAACAAAACAAAACAAAAAGCCAAAAATAAAATGAAAGAATAAATAATCAATACATGCTCTCTACTTACGGTTCCTTCATGAAAAAGGAGTGTATTGTTCTAGTATGTGATTTATATCTATTTAAATGCAGAAATGTTGTTCATTTAGTCTAGGGACAGGTTACATATAGTTATTTTTTTCTTATCAAAATATTTGTTCTACAGCATAATTTAAGTTTTAACATGTTAGGTAACATCCATTACTAATATCTGAATTTTAGAAACTGGATTCTGGGACAGTGTATACAGGTGTACATCACTGGGCAGAGAAATGTTTAGCTGTTTTGAAAAAGCCTCCATTCCTCAGAATACATAATAAAGCTGTACATACCACATGCTTTATTGTTCTACCACTGTGTTGCCCGTGAATCACACAATCGGTTTAACTTCATTAAACTTATTGATTATTTCCAAAGCTATATATAAGTAAGTCTGTAAGAAGCTCTACCGTTTGGTGTTTTGCCAAGGTTCTCATCTGAGTCTGTATCTAACTTAGGAAGCATTTAAATTCGTTTTCCTTAATAACTGTATCCAGTGATTCTTTTCAGGTATTATTCTCTCCAGATACACTGCTTTGGCGGACATGTTATCAGCATCTGTTGCCTGAGGCTGAGAGGAAACTAGCCACAGTCTAGCTCATTGTGCCTGCATTTAACTGTTCTCCAGCTTTGAGGTCAATAGCCCAGGCCTTTCAGTAATCAGCAACTTAGAACAAAGGGTAAGGGGCAGAGAAGTTCTGCATTTACTCTTGACTTGGAGAAATAATGTGCCTGTAGCCTTCATAGAAATAGTTATAAGAGGGAAAAGAAGAAAAGTCTGAATATAAGAACAAAGCCAAGGTT